TTGACATCAGTTGCTTTTTTTCAAAACCTACACAGCTGACCAAAGAGTGAAGAATTTATAGATTATATGTTTAACGTACATACCTCCAGCGGAAATGTTTTGATTAGCAATTCTCTGACTCACGATGTAAGCAGCGAGATTGGTGCCTGCGCCAAAGAGAACTCCCGTAAAAGAAACCCCTACAACGGTAACAAAGGGAACCAAACGCCCTCGAGGGTCCTTGAGCATCACGGGATTGTTGGCTGCGTATGAGTAAAGGTTGATGCTTTTCCCTAAAAAACCTGACAACAAAGAAGAAAATGAGTTTCGACTGCCTGTCATTAGCAAGTCCGCTGTTTTCGTCTTTCTGTTTTCTTTCAGTATAAAAAATCACTCTTACATTGGTATCAAGTGAACGTGAAAATCTTTGGATAACGTTGGAATCTGTTGCCTCGTCTTCACTTGAAATTGAGTTAAATGTCAAATTAAAAGGCCAGCCGTCACAACTTCCTGTCATTATTAAGATTCGGGTTCTTTAATTCATTTTAAATGGAACGAATATTCCTCTTTGCTTCTGTTTCAAAAGTGGTCTTTTATATGAAAATGAGTTGGATTTACATAAAAATGAGGCTACAAATGAAATAAAAAAGTATATATGAATGGCTTCGCGGGAAAAACGGTTTTAAAACAGGCAGAAAAGGAACTTGAAATTCGGCCGCATCCTTTAACATTCAATATTTGAAAGAAAGGGCGATCAACGATTTAATTTTAGCATTCTTCGAGAATGCGAGGGTTGTCTATTATATGGCTTTTTGCATTGTCTTTGCAAGCCCGCAATTCGGGCCCGTGGGCATTACGGGAGAATAATGCCCTACAATTAGCCAATCAGAGCGAGTGTAAGATGAGCTACAAACCCAAGATATATAATAATTATACTTAGTGAATGCGTATTTACCGAGAGGATCAAAACTAAGAAATCTTCCAAGCTGTGCATCATAGTGTCTGGATCTCATCCAGTAAATATCCCTTAGTTCACGGT